AAATATTTATTATGATAGGTATGAGAGAAGAATAGATAAACTACTTAATCATCTTATAAGTGAAAATATAATAATAATGAATATTTATACAAATTTCTTTTACTTTACAAAAACCTTAGGTTAATTGTTTAAAAATGAATTTCTAGACTTGTTTTCAATGACTTTTTGTTTAAAGCTTTCAAGATTAATAGCAATATTATGATATGAACATTACACGATTGGCGTAATTCATCATAAATCAATCTTTAATTGATATTTACAATCATAAGCATACACATATAGTTTATTTACTATTTAGATGCATGACGATGACGTCTTGAAATCCGCAAACTGTGCGCATAATTGATTTGTTTTAATGTAAAAGCAATTTTTCGTTTAGCGGTTAAGTATACGGTAGATAGGTTCACATAACAGAATTTTAAAGAAACGCAAATTTTCCCTTAAGTAAGAACGAATAGATTCTCTCGCAAAGTTGTTCTTCCATCCTAGATGCATCCTAAAAGCAATTAAAGATGAAATTCGCTTTTCTTTTGGCAATGTCTTATCCAGTATCGCTCAAATGCTTACTGCTCCACTCTTTCTCCTCGTTAAGTTTTTAAGGGACGTTTTTGCAAAACTTGGGCGGCTGTTTGAAGATTGAAAAAGAGATATGTAAACAAAAATCGAAAATTCTTGTTATTATTTGATCAAGTGAATCAGTATTTATTTTCTATTTCTTTTAATAACAGCCATCACTCAGAAGATTGTCTCCTATTCGTTTAACATTGTGATTGTGAGAAAGAAAAGAAAAAGAAATAGATAGGACATACACTCACTAGGCTAGGGCAATAAATGTTATGGCTTTACCGACTGCGCACACGATCAAAGAAAACTCTATCGCACTTGTAATTTGAACAAGAACTCTCGCTTAGTTGTCTCTGCTCTTACCTAGTGGACTAATCAGACGACTATCTAATAGGTTTTTAGGTCATTTTCACAAATCATATTTAAAATCGTCTAATGAATTCAGACTTACAAATTAACGTCTACATTGGCTCGTAGAGAGTCTAGAGTCTCTAGACACTCCTTTCCGTTGTGCCTATCACGCGGCGCAGCGCTAACTATGGACTGCATTCCCTTATACAAGGCCTCGTTCAACACTTTAATGAAAATGATCACTTAGTCTCCATTCCAGGTAAACGCGAATATGTGAAACATATGCCACCCAGTCGACAACATTATTCATAGTTGCTAAACGTAAGTGTCGCTGTTGTTGCTTTTTTCCCTTACGCCTAGGTTAAAGTATTGTTAGGTGTTAGGTTAAGTTATCCCCAATAAACCAATAAACAAAGAAACTGTTTTATAAACATACAAATACGGTATCCAAAATTCGTTGCAAAATTAAATTTAATTGTTGTAAGCACTTATTTACCAAAACTTGTTTTGAACATTTACTTGCCGTTCATTATTTATTTACTCTGTGACAATAGTTACTGCCCACCGTTATCACAAGCGCGGCAATGTTTGTTATTCCCTAACTATAAACTATACCTATAAATCCTAGAAAATACTGGCTGGTCCTTGTCACACTTCAATTCATTTAATTAATTGCTAAACATTGCACTTATATACGTTGTTGTTGTTATTTTACTTTCGTACTTTTAAATAAGTTTTTCATAATGAAACATAATAATGCTATCGCACTTTCTTTATTTATTATTTTTTTGAACAAAGACTATATCCTGTAAATTCCAATTGTTGTTATTTATACTTGCATGCCTATCGTTACTAATGGCTGATATTGCTAATCTTTAGCAATTATAGTAAATCATAAAAAATTTTAATCAATTTCGTAAAACGTTTCACATACGCATTCATATCTGATTATTTGACATATGTGCACAAATTGTTTGCTTAAGGGTCAAGTAGATTTTATTCCACACACGCACACACACTAGCACAGACGGCTGTAAGGAAATATAATATGATAAGCAAATTCGTTTGCATGCTCTTGCTACTTAAATGTTTAGCAGAGAGACCAAAACATATCAGTTTCTATTTTTAGTAGATAAATAAATACACATTTGAAGATATATAAGCAAATCAATTGATAATGATAAAGTTTAGCTACCATATATATATAAAATAATATTTAACTTTGTATCATATATATATATATATATATATATATACTCTATCGTCGCTAGCAAAGAAAAGGTTCATTTTCACTACCGAAATTAATTGTTTGCAAAAAAGTATTTTATTCCCTTCTTTGGTTCTCTCTCTCGCGAGCTAATATCGAACCTCGTTTAGCTGTACGCCATGTTATTCTGTTTTGCTCACTCTCATGAAAAAGGTTTGCCTTATATGTAAGATTGATATTTTTCCTATTCGGTCAGGGTCATGCCTCAGCTTCTGTTCCAGGCCTTCCTAACTTCGACGTTCACATTTTCTCGGCATAAATAAGAATCCTGCTGCCCGATTCAACGTTATAAGTCAAATATTTTTAGTGAAAATATTAAAGAAGAGACTTATCTTCTATGGATAGCACATATTTTATTTAACTCAATAGCTAACTGCAACAATATATCTATATCCGACAAAAAATCTTGTCTTATAATAGCCAATCTTAGAATTCTACGAAGCTATGACTTCATATAACTTCATCGCTGGTAGTCAATAATCAAATGAAAAACTTGAAAGTAAATACCTTATCGTCGGTGATTTTCGGATGGATAGTCTTCTATAGAAATATCCATAACTCAGCACCTACGGTGTATAAGTCCCAGCGGAGGATGACAGTCAATCTTCCTTATCGTTCTGGACGGAAGAGGATATCTATTTTTCCTCTCTATTTTCCTCTGCTCGGAGAGGGTGTCTTTTCTTTCTCTTCTGTATACCTTGGTTCGAATAGACGTCCTCTTCGTTCTGGGTGGAGCCGCCGATCCCCATTCTGTTCCGTTCTTACTCAGAGCGTACACCGTCCCTATGACAACCTCTCCGTCTCTCTCTCTCTCTCTCTCTCTCTCTCTCTCTCTCTCTCTCTCTCT